GAATGTTTCATATTTACAAAATAGGAACAATTCACTTCACCTCTTCAGATTGCCATTTGAGTTACTGTAAACAGTTTCCCCTAACTGTTGTTTAAACAAGAAATTGAGTTCTGTAGCATGAGTAGTAAAGTCTTTTGACTACAAAGATGTAACGCTTCCTTTCATGTTTTTTCCAAATCCATGAAGTGTACTCCATCAGCGTATTTTAAATTTCAGCAATGATTTCAGTATAAATTTTTACATGAAATGGTCTAGTTAGGAAGATTATTTTTTTCCAGAAGGCAGTATTAGGTAGCACATGGAGTAAATATGCTGCTGATTACTTGGTGTGACGTGACTACTTTTCTTTAGTTGTAATTCTTCAAAAAATGGTGTTTTGCTACATCCTTTGCCTTCTTGATAATCTTTATTTTTCAATAGATTTTTTTTTTCTCTCTTTCATACTTCAGTCTTCTGTACCTCTTACCGTTCTTCGGCACTTGAAATCTTAATCAGTTCTCATGTTGGTTTCCAGACTCTCCAGCTTTGTTCTGGCATACTCATTTATAAAGTACCCAAATTATACAAAATAAGGCCAAATAAAATGTAGAATAAACTGTAGAATAAACTGTAGCATGATGCCAGTTTTTTCTTTTTTCTGACGTTTTGCAAACAGGACTTTGGGCATCCTGATTTCTAGTGTTTTGGATATGGGAATATCTCTCATGCTTCAAGAAGAGCGTTATGAAGGCTCTCAAAATTAGATTTGGGAAGCAGAAAGGATGCTGCCCAGTTCTGCGTAGCATCCTCATAATGTCAGGGAATAAATTACTCTATGATTTAACTCCTAGATGGACAAGCACATCATAATTTGACGGGGACCCTCTGTATTTCTCTCGAAGATCATAACTCACTGCAGAGTTGCTCACTGTGGGAAACCTTCCCATAGTTAGAGGCTGGAAGGGCCCCGTATCTATTTGTGAAGGACAGGGAGTGTTTTTGTTACCTTCAAAGCCCCATTATGGGCTGTGATTGCTTGTGGGAGCGTCTGGTTATGATCTGTTGGAAAACAGCCTATTAATAAAACAGAGGCTCTTGTAATAGAGCACTTCTTAATCTTCTTCCTATGTAGTTATTTATAGGCTGTGACATCTTAATTTGCCTCTCATCTGCATCGACTTCTGTTATTTTAAAAGATCAAGTAGCTTTCACACGCCGCTGAGAATCACTTCTGGAGGAAACAGTCTGTTTTCTAAGGAATCCTACAAAAAAGCTTCAAGTCATAAGTTTGCGAAAAATGGGTTAAGGTTTTTGCTGGTGCCTTTCTAAAGGACGAAGAAGTTACGGGATGTCATGTTATATAGATACTTGTGTATTAATCCTGTATTTGCCTGATTACAAGCAGATTTTCTTGAATTCTCAAATGATTTCCAGTTGCTGGTAGTACTTCTTTGCCCTTAGTTGAGTGTGCGGTGACCTACCAACCACTGGAACAGGTTGCCCAGGGAGGTGGTTGAGGCCCCATCCCTGGAGATATTCAAGATGAAGCTCGATGAGGCCCTGGGCAACCTGGTCTAGTTGGGGGTGTCCCTGCTGACTGCTGACCTTTGGAGGTCCCTTCCGGCCTGGGCGACTCTATGACTCTATGACTATGACTCTACCCGGAGCAATATTAGATATTTTATTCTCTTTATTTTTGTGGTTGTTTTCTTTATTAGAGTGGTCCTAGCGCCAGATCTTGTCACAAGATGTGCATTGACATCCAACGAAGGCAGATCTACACGCTGGGGCGCTATCTGGATTCCTCCGTGAGGAACAGCAAATCCCTGAAAAGTGACTTCTACCGCTACGACATCGACACAAACACCTGGATGTTACTGAGTGAGGACACTGCGGCGGATGGAGGTCCAAAGCTGGTGTTTGATCATCAGGTCAGCTAAAGATCTCAATGTTTGCTCACCAATTTTTTGATTGTAGCCTCCTGTGATTTAGAAGTTCTCTACCAGGTAACAGAGCAGCGATGAGGCTGTGATCTGCACTCAATTAAATTCCAATAACAGCGTTGTCTAAAGGCACTGAATACTGCTATCAAACGAGTCAGAAGAATCGTAAAAACACCTTTGCAAACCAATTCATTTGATTAAGACACATTTTGTTGAAGCTCAAAGCACAGTTCATCTGGTTTTAATCGGTCTCGTTTGAGCTAGGTTTGCAGATCTCAGAGGGCATTTGGGCAACAACTTGCAAAGCTGTGTCTTGTACCTGCAGAAGTAAAGTATACTCAAGCTGCTGAAATGAGGCCAAGAGGATCAGGATTCTTTCAAAACTTGGTTATCTCTTAAAATTTGTAGCATGTGCTTGCTTGGTAGATATTGAAACACCTGAAAGGAGTGGCTACTGATTTTTTAAAAAGCCACACCTGTCCATGTGTTCAACCTGAATATTTTTTTAATTGTGTTTGATGGCTTTTGTGTACTTGAAAAAAGGGTATTTTGTTCTTAATTGATTTTCACAAAGCATGACCAAGCAGCAGCACATCAGTACTCATTTTTAAAGCAGCCCAAGAACTGATTTTATTGGTACTAGCTGTTTTGTAACCAAAGCTGCTGTTTGCCAGCACAATATGCGTTTCTGCTGACACTGAAAATTTAAGATACATGTTTTCTGCAGAACAAAAGCCAATCAGTCTTTCTGTTCTATTAATAACGAATACCAGGCTCCCAGGTGTTGGGGAAAAGGCAGAAGTAAATAGTCAGCTGGCAAGGCTACTCCAGGTACCTTGCTTGCCTACTTCTGAAATATTGTTTCTTTTTCCCCCTGCTGTCTCTTAGGAAAGAATGTCCTCCCTGAATTCTTTATCAATCTGCAGCTCTTCCTCTTCTCTCCTTCAGCACCTACAGCGATAGCTCTTTTTGTTTAACCTTCACAAAAATGTGCTGCACTAGAAGTGTTTGGTGTAGACTTTGCTGAGTAGCATCTCTATCTCACTGTTTTTTTTCTCCCCCCGGTGTTTTGCAACGCTCTGCGTTGCACTGAGTCTGGAAATATCACCTGGAGCCAGGGAGGTTTGTTTGATTTGTTCCGTGGTGCATCTCTTGTGTGCCATAACAGGCATTCAGGCTTCAGGGATAAATCTATTTCTGCTGCAGTCTCATCAAAAATCCTTGGCCAGGTTATGGCCCTACTTTATGATGAAGTAATAGGAGTAACAATAAATATATGCTTGGGATGGAATCCAAGTAACAAATTGCACAATGCTTTTGGGTTGGTTGAGTGGTAATTTTGAATTTTTCCCCTGTATAGCCATTGTTAGAGGTGATATTCTGTTAACTCGCTGACAGAATTGGCCACGGATCTTGAAAAACTCTGAAATGTTTTCTGCTAAAATCAGCAGCTGGAGGCAGGTTTTTTTACGTGATGAAAGGAGCATGTAGCCTCTTTTTTTTTTTTTCTTTCTTCTTAAATAACCAAGTTAAAATTAGACTCACATTTTAAATAAAGGACCATTTTCTGAGATTAATACCTGTCAACGGTGAAGACACTGATTCTTTTCTGCTCATTAGAGGTTGAGGAGATGTGTCTTACAGGTATCGCTTTGCAGGGGAGGGATGTTTAATCTTAAACCTTAACGTTTTCGAGTCGTCATGTGCTGGCTTCAACCTGCTGCTCTCGTTCTCAGATGTGCATGGATTCTGAAAAACACATGATCTATACCTTTGGAGGCAGAATTCTGACCTGCAATGGGAGTGTTGATGACAGCAGAGCCAGCGAACCCCAGTTCAGTGGATTGTTTGCTTTTGACTGCCAGTGTCAGACGTGGAAACTTTTGAGAGAGGATTCCTGTAATGCTGGCCCCGAGGATATCCAGTCCCGGATAGGACACTGTATGTTGTTCCATTCTGTAAGTATCTGCACCGTGCTGTGATTCACGATGCCTGGCTTTAAAGGAGAACATCTGGTTTTAATTTTTTCTTGCAAGTTTGAAGCTCTTTAATCTCCCAAGTGGTGTGTTGTCTCACTTTATTTTATGGTCGCTGACATTCTCATGCTTCTTTGGTGAGTGCAGGTGGTATTAATTCAAGTCTTGGAGCTTTCATGACATGAACTGAATAAAATTTCAAGTAAAAAACAAGGTGAATTTTCAATAGTTGATTTTCATAGAATCATAGAATGGTTTGGGTTGGAAGGGACCTCAAACATCATCGAGTTCCAACCCCCCTGCCATGGGCAGGGACACCTCCCACTAGACCAGGTTGCTCAAAGCCCCATCCAGTCTGGTCTTGAACACTTCCAGGGATGGGGCAGCCACAGCTTCCCTGGGCAACATCTTCCAGTGTCTCACCACCCTCAGAGTAAAAAATTTCTTCCTGAGATCTACCCTGAATCTTATTTCTTCCAATTTAAAACCGTTTCCCCTTGTCCTATCATTACACCTCGTGGCAAAGAGTCCTTCTCCAGCTCTTCTATAGGCACCCTTCAGGTATTGAAAGGCCGCTATAAGGTATCCCCGGAGCCTTCGCTTCTCCAGGCTGAACAATCCCAGCTCCCTCAGCCTGCTTTTATTTGATTTTAATCAAATAAAGGTAAATAGAGAGGCCCTATTACAATTTGATCTAAAGAGAGGGTTTTTTTAGAATTTGTAGAGCATCTTAGAACCTTCTGGTCTAGTAAATACCCTGTGTGGCTACTGGAATGGTAAACTTGGCTAATGCAGGGGCTTACTGGGTGTGATTTGAGGTGCACAGGCCTCGTATTCCTCCGTGCTGTGCTGCTGCTTGTCTTGAGCAGCTGTTAACAGCTGGGCACAGATGGCATTACGGGCACGTCATCCGGAGACTGATGGAAAGGCAGAGGGATGCAGGGGGAGGGCTGTGTAGCGCTTTATTTAGTATTAACAGAAATAATAAAACTTCCATTGCCTTTCCAGTTGTGCTTCTCAACCACACGTTTGCTTAAGTGCAGAACATGGGAACTGCGGGATGTTTTGCTGACATTAAACTCTGACTTGGGGGTGGGGAGGAAGAGAATTAAAATTAATAAAATTAATATATTAATTCAAGCGTTTACTGATACTCCGAACTGAAAACTGACCAATTTATTGAGTTTGTTTCTCTTTCCGTTCCAAAATTAATAAAATTAATATATTAATTCAAGTGTTTACTGGTAGTCCAAACTAAAACTGACCAATTTATTGAGTTTATTTCTCTTTCTGTTCTGAATGAAAGATCAGGATTTTTATTGTGAATACCGTGCTTTCAGAGCTTTCAATTTCATTTTTGTTTTTTGTGGCTCTCCAAAATCTGGTCGAAAACATATTGCCACACGATATTCTGCAGAGGTACCAAAGGATTTTTCAACGTGTCCGTGGTAAATGTAAGAACACAGGTTTCTGTAAGCACAGGTCGTGGAAGTTTAAGGCCTCTGCTGTTTTCTCAACCATTTGAAAGAAAAATAATCTGCCTCTTACGGACTTTCCACTTGGCAAGCTTGAAAGAAGTAATAAACCTGTTATTTTTGGCTTGCTGCTTGCCTGTTCTGAGTTTAGTAATGTGCTGGTACCTGAATGGTTTCTCTTACAGTCCGCCTTTTGTTCCTGTTTGTTTGTGGCTTTTTTTAACAGCAAAGTTATGATCTAATGAGTTTTAGATGTGGAGACTGTTAATTCTTTAATATTAAACTTGAAAAATGAATTGCTGTTTTAATGTTTAGAAGTTAGAGCTTGATCAGGCAAGGCTACAGTAGTAACTATGTAAAATCTGCCTCGTCACTCTCGAGCTGAAACTCTGTCTTGGATCCAGGTTTGCGGTCTCATGTAAACCATGAAAAAGAAGTCTTTAATTGCATTTGTAAGAGGCTTTTTTGGGGTGGAGGAGCTGTGAGCCCTTAATGGTTTAGCTGTTGAAATGGAGAAATCATGAACTCAAGAATCAAGAAGATCAAGAACCCAGTCAAGACATCTCAAGTTTTTATTGAGTTTGAGAGTAAAAGATATTTACCAAATAAAGATTGGTAGACCTGATGGTAGTTAAGGCATTATTTTAAACTCAGAAGAAACATAGCTATTACTCTTTGAATAATCCGTGGTTTTATTAATGGTCACAGTTGGTCAACATACTTCCCTGAGCTTGGTAAAAATGTACTTGTTTTTTTCCATTCTAGAAAAATCGTTGCTTATATGTATTTGGTGGCCAGAGATCGAAGACATATTTGAATGATTTCTTCAGTTACGACGTAGACAGCGATCACGTGGATATCATATCGGATGGCACTAAGAAAGATTCAGGGATGGGTAAGAGCATAACTATGTATTAATTTCTTCCTGTTGGTACAAGTGAGAAATATATTGTTAAGTAGGTGAAAGGCCAGCTCCAGTCTTCTGTGGTATCAGGTTGGCATCCTTAACTAGCCCTACGTACCCGAGTAAACTCCACAGAATATAGGTTAAATTTATGCCAGCTCTTTTGTCCCTCCTGTCATTTGACACTCACCATCTTCAGCACAATACAAATAATTGATGCATGAAACCACATAGCACCTCAAAAGAAAAAAAAAAAAGCAACAAAATAAGAACTAAAAATGCTCCTTTGAAACTGCTGCAAAGACAGGAAAGAAAAAAAAAAAGACTGAAGAAATTACTTTCTTTAAACCAGCAAAGGAGAAAGCATTTAAGACTGAAGAAATTACTTTCTTTAAACCAGGAAAGGAGAAAGCATTATTATTATTTTTTTTTCTAGTTTTCACCAAGTGAAAGTTGCCATAAAATAGAAATAATCTGCTTGGTTTAAGATGCAGAAAGGCAGGTAGGATGCTCAGAGCCATAGAATTGGAGTAGAAAGGCAGAGGTTATTTGGCCTGGCAGGAGCTGACTAGAAAGATGAGACCTGTTGTCCTGTTCTTGTTGTGCTAAATTATAAGGGAGCAGGAAAAAAAGGCAGGAGGGGGGGGAGCGAGGCTTCAGTCCTGTTTGGTTCATACCGCTGGAGCTGTATACACCAGGCAGAGTTCTGTATACCAGAAACCTTTAAAAACACCCAAAAGGCATTGTAGCACAACCAGAAAGAACTGATTTTATACCTCTTCTCCTCAAATGACATCAAGAATGTTCTTTTTTTTTATCCAAAAAGGATTTCTGCATGTATAAGCACATCGCTTTCCTGTGGTGCAAATATTTGAGCATACAGCTCAGAAGTGGAAACTTGTATTGCGGCGTGTGCTATTGTAGGAGAGAAGTTAGGAAAATTTCTCATATTACACATATTTAGTCCCAATCTTGTTTTCTTTTCTTCGGTTACCAAAATCCCAGGAAGCTGATTTATCTCGAATTTAGGCTGCCCGTCCTTATTTTGATCGGACTTGATTTTTAGCAAGTGATTTTGCTGAACTCTTGAAGTGAATTATTGATGGTTGTGAGTTATTGTTTGCTCATTAATTTAGTTATGGCAGTGAGGGGGAAGAGTACCCAAGCTCTTAATTTTCTGGAGTCCTTTATTTTCTTGAGTTCTTCCAGGAAAGAACTAGCTTGTATTGTTGACAGTCTCCTTTATTAAGGTGCCTGCATGTTGCCTGCTGCTGCTCTACACACACCCACGCACCGTTGTCCTTAGAGCTTTTAAAGAATTGACTTTTTTTTTTTTCCATGAAATTGCTAGCATTCTGTCATTTTACCATTTTTTTTTTTTTTCCATTAAATTGCTAGCATTCTGTCATTTTGCTTTTTTAAAACTGCATTTCTTTATAGCCAGAAGCTTTAAAACATGTGGCTTTAACCTGACACCCGTGGCTACTTCAGATTTAAAGATAACCAAGCCTGTGGCTGGAGAAGACCCCAGACTCTGCTTCTCAACACGTCCATTAATTGCAACGTTCGGTGAAGCAAATGAGACTGTAATATTTAGCCCCCCTCCTCGTTCCTACGGGCCCTGAAGTGGTGAATAGTAGACTTTGTAGGAAAATGACTCATTGGAAATAATTCATGAGTAGATTTTCAGTTTACTGTTCTCCTGTGTGTAGAAAGTAAACAAACAGATTTGAACGTTTCCCTTGCTTTTGAAAGAAAATGCTAGGATTATTTGCATTTTAACAGGAAGGGAACAAAATGCTCGTTACATTCAAACAGCAACTGCTGACAGGACTATTTTCACCCCGAAAAGCAAGTCTTTTATTATGCTCCTGTTGGGTGGTGATATACCATTTTTGATCTGTAGGAACAAAGTGATTCCCTGCCTGGTTGCTGCGAAGCTTTAAGCCGCTCGGTGTGTGATGAGTCAAGTTGAGGATGCCTGACCTAAATGTTCCTATAAAGTCCCATGATTACATTTTGTTCCTGGCTCGCATGTGGCATTCAGTTCTATTCTTAGTCGAGCTATTTTGATTTTTACCCTTTCTAAAAGAACTTAATTGTGCATTTGTTTAAAATTTCCGTTAGACTAGTGGGATTTTAAAAAGAAGTAGTAAAATGGATAGTTAAGGAATATCAGTAATAGGGAGTTGTTGCAATGCTAGAAGATGATGGTAATGATACGTTGCTTTTGCTGTTCTAATCTTCTGGATGAGATATTTATGCTGTTTAGTGTTTCTTTGCTCTTAGTTGTGTGTTTGATGATGATCCTGGAACCAATTCCTTGTACAGGTGACGTGTTTGAGAGAATATTGTGTGATAAGCATCACTTAAAATTTTTAATTGGGAGTAAAGAACAGTAATTTCAGCAAGCTTAGGTGTACTTTTTTCATTTTTCATGCTTCTTTTTAATGAACTTTCAAAAAAGTTCAGAGTGGGGCAAGATATAATTTCTAAAAGATGGGTTTTTACACAGCTTTGCCTACTAGAAATGTCTCCTGACTTGATCTGCTTTGAACATGGGCGAACCTTGTGGCTCTTTGTGTCTGCTGAATGCATTTACCAGTGACCATGGGTTCTTTCTGCAGCTCATTCCATCAAAAAACCTGGTGCTTGCTCTTTGCTGTCAAAGGAGGGCACCACAGTGAGGTTAGGCCAGTAGGAGGTTGTCTTTCTGCTGCATGATAGCTGCTACAAGCAAGAAATTAGTTAATTCAGCTAGAAAATAGACAAAATGGGATTGAGGAAAAGAGATATCAACTGTGATAATGAGTTGGATTCAAAGAAAGACAGTAGTGGTAGAAATAGGAAGAAGTGTAGTACAGCTGAAGAACATGTGGTTGGAGGAGAGGGAGAAATATGTATGTTGATGGACAAGCCCTTTAAGCAGTTGTATACTTTTAATTACTTTAAAAAAAAAAAACAACAAACAACAAAAAAATCCCAAGCAAACCCAACATGTGTATGACAGAGTGTATCTCTGAAGCATACAAGTGCTCTAGGGATGCCACCAGTGTCAGATGTCTTCAAAAGGCTGTCCTGACACCTTGCCCATCTTCCTTAGTGCACAATCCATGACTAATCACGGGCAGTCGTTTAGGGCCTAAGGGACCTAGGGAACGCTGGTGGTCAAGGTTCCTGGGATAATCTTGACACACCCTGGCTCAGGTGGTGTGTCAGAGCTGTTGGTCAGAGGGAGAATTTCCTTCTGCAAGAGGATCAAGATGATAGAAGTGTAGTACAGCTGAAGAACATGTGGTTGGAGGAGAGGGAGAAATATGTATGTTGATGGACAAGACCTTTAAGCAGTTGTATACTTTTAATTACTTTAAAAAAAAACAACAAACAACAAAAAAATCCCAAGCAAACCCAACATGCGTATGACAGAGTGTATCTCTGAAGCATACAAGTGCTCTAGGGATGCCACCAGTGTCAGATGTCTTCAAAAGGCTGTCCTGACACCTTGCCTGTCTTAGTGCACAATCCATGGCTAATCACGGGCAGTCGTTTAGGGCCTAAGGGACCTAGGGAGCTCTGGTGGTCAAGGTTCCTGGGATAATCTTGACACACCCTGGCTCAGGTGGTGTGTCAGAGCTGTTGGTCAGAGGGAGAATTTCCTTCTGCAAGAGGGTCAAGATGATAACATCGTAGAATGGTTCAGGTTGGAAGGGACCTTAAAGATCATCTGGTTCCAACCCCCCTGCCATGGGCAGGGACACCTCCCACAAGGCTAGGTTGCTCCAAGCCCCATCCAGCCTTGAACACCTCCAGGGGTGGGGCAGCCACAGATTCTCTGGGCTACGGGTTCCAGTGTCTCACCACCCTCACAGTAAAGAATTTCTTCCTAATATCTAATCTAAATCTCCCCTCTTTCACTTTAAAACCATTCACCCTAATATCTAATCTAAATCTCCCTCTTTCACTTTAAAACCATTCCCACTATCGCTCCACTCCCTTGTCAAGAGTCCCTCCCCAGCTTTCTTGTATCCTCTTTAGGGACTGGAAGGGGCTCTAAGGTCTCCCTGGAGCCTTCTTTTCTCCCATACTCTTCTCCAGGCTGAACAATCCCAGCTCTCTCAGCTTGTCCTCATAGTGGAGGCGCTCCATTGAACAACCCCAGCTCTCTAAGCCTGTCCTCGTAGTTGAGGCGCTCCAGCCCTCGGATCATCTTAGACCATTCCAACAGGTCCGTGTCCTTCCTGTGCTTATATGCCTTGGCATCCAGTAAATTCCAAAGTAAATGAGAACAACCCCTGGACAGTCTTGTGGCCCCCTTTTAAGGGTGAGGTAGTTCTTATGGGCAAACTGTGACTATTTTTTTTATCTACCAGTGAGGTTTCCCAGGCCCCTTGCTGGGATGGGTGCTCGTTCCAGAAGTGCTGGGAGATGGGAGGTTTCCTGGGTAAGGACCACGGACAGAGGCGACACGGCCCAGGCTGGGAAATCCTGGTTTGAAACACGATGGTGTCAGAAAACCAGTAATCAAATTAAAACACTAAAGCCAGCCCAACATGGCCAGTAGCCAACTCAGACAAGCCATCTGAATGTCCCACGTTGGTTGTCTTCTTCACATGTTTCGCCCTTGTTCAGTTCAAGGTCTTCCTTGCCAGTCAGCGTGTCGCTTCCCATGGAAGCGCTTTGGTTTGTGAGGGACCTTGTGTGCTCTTCATCTTGGGAGGTGCTTCTCTGAACCTGTCTCAAAATACTTCCCTCCTGCTGTGAAGATGAGGAGGAGAGCAGGTAGTCACAAAATCCTAAGGATGCTTTGCAGAGATGGCATAGAAGCAGAATTCCATTCACATTTACTAACCGACCTGTTCTTTTCCCCAAAATCGCGCGTTGCTTGGGAGAGAACTGAGTGTTGGACCTCGGGTTGTTGCTTTTTTTTCAGCGTGACAACCAAACTGTCCAAATGGTCTCCTCAGCTGCTCCTTGGCTGGCTGCCAAGCGCGGTCTCATCATGAAAAATCCAAGAGGATAATCATTATCTTGCTGCGTCAACAGCTGGCTTGCGTGCTATCTCCGTCGCTCACCGAGGTTTTTGCTCCAGTAAAGTTCAGGGGAGGTGCTGCTTCAGTTTTATAGGGATTTACAAGAAAGGGGGGATGGAGTTACTTGCTGACCTACCGCTTTTTTAAAAATTAATCCATCAGGGAGGTGCCAGATTCTGGTGAACAGCGAAATCCATGTGATGTAGTTTTCTGCTATTTTTTTTTTCTTTTTAATCACGAGGCGTCACAAGGAAGGAGGATACTTGGGAGTCACTTGCAGTGGGATTAGCAGTAACGTGTTCTGAGGGTTTCGTAACTTGGTGGCACTAAAAGGCTGTCGATGAACTCGCTCCCCTTAATTATCCTTCACGAATCCTTCAGAAATGGTCTGTAGACTGCAAGTTTTATAGTGTCGTTTTGCCAATGCCGTGTTTGAAAACATGTTTAAAAACATGCCGTGGTATCCCCCCGAATGAGAGAGATGAGATTTTCTTTCCCAGCTTCTGTCTAGTACTATGAGAACAGCATCTCTGTGAACTCCAATTTACTGCTGTGCAAACTCTGTGTTGTAAAAGCTCTTGTTTTCTCGCTTGGAGACTGGCAGCAGCCAACGTTGCTCTTGAAACAACTGTAGCTGTTTGCACATACAAGCCAAAAAACATTCAGCTTGCTGAAATGATGGCTGTGATCAAATAAATGGCTGGAAGCAGGGACCACGGCAGTGGGAACATACCTATTCCATGATTAAGCATCACATTTGTAGAAAAGCTTTTCCCATGTGTTATATTTAAATGGAAATTACATTGTACACGGTTACGTGGCATCTTATCGAAGCTTTCTCAGGAATTACTACTTGTTTATGTAACTGGCTGCAAACTCAAGGCCTGTGCTGCTGAATATTGTTTTCAAATATTGAAGCTGTGAGCTTTTCATTTTTGCTATATAAAAATAAATGCAAATGTTAAGTTCTGGAGAGAGGATTCAGATTGCTTATTTTCAGTTACTGCCCTCCTACCCTGGCTACCCTGGACTGGTTAATGAGATTATGGGGGGGGGGGGAAAAAATAAAGCAGGGGCACAAAAAAAAAATTCACTATCTA